GGGAAGCCAAGAGGAAGTTTCTACATAAGCCTAACAGGGCTCATTCCGCTTCTGCACTGATGAGCCATGGTGGCGCAGTGGTTAGAGTGCAGTACTGCAGGCTACCTCTGCCGACCACCGGCTGCAGCAGTTCGGCAGATTGAATCTCACCAGGCTCAAGGTTGACTCAGCCTCCCATCCTTCCGAGGTGGGTAAAATGAGGACCCAGACTGTGGGAGCAAGAGGCCGACTCTGTAAACCACTTAGAGAGGGCTGTAAAAGCATTAGGAAGCGGTATATAAGTCTAAGTGCTATTGCTACATTCATCCGTGGCAAGTCTTCAATGCCTAGAATGTTCCTTTTATCTCTCACGAGGGAAGGTCCACATGTAATGTTGCACTTTAAATCAATTAAGATAACAAATATAGGTATGGGAAGAAAAAAGGAAAAAAATAATTAATACCAAGGCTCCTCAAGTCTCATTAGATATTTTTTTACAGATATTATGAATAAATCGATCAACCTGTTCCTATCCTGAAAAAGAGTTAACATTTGTATAGCCCTTTCCCCTTTCTCCAACTGCAAGAGGAGATGCGTTAAACGAGGGTCTCCTTTTGGAAACAGTTTCTGTACAGAAGACTTACTTCACGGGTGCTTTCTTTATGAACATATATCCAGTTTTCACGATAAAAACCTGAAAACAGAAGCACAAACTCACTGAAACACTTCAAGATTAGGATGGATAACATTCACCCTTGCCCACATTTCTCTTCTATGCCACTCATAAACTTCTCTGGCTGAATTTAAAGTGACTCACACCAGAGCATTAGCGAGCAGGACTGTCGCCATTTCAAGCAGGCTTCTGGTGTGGATCAAAATCCAGTGCTAATGGAAATATCAGTTAAGATTTAATATTGATCAATCAAGGAAGTTTTGTCTTAAGGCTCTTCTATGAAGGATTCCATTGAATCCACGTATCTGACCATGCATTTGCTGTCCTGTCAACTGGATTATTCTATAATTATTCAATAAAGATGATCAGATGTACGTACAGGACAGCTCTTCGACGTTGCTCTCATCCAAATCGAGAGAAAGGGATCAAACAGTCTCTTTGGACCAAAAAAATAAAGCAAATCAGTGTTTAGATGGTGTCCTCATCGACATTACCGGTACACACCAGAGGTGGGTTCCAAACCGGTAGCGAAGGTAAGGAAATTGCATGCCTGGTACACACTTGCAGTTATTTCACCTGCTACCAAATCTAAGAGTTCAGGACGGGGGAAGAGACCAAAGGACAATATTTACAGTTTTGGCTTAGGATGAAATTACAATCAGTGGAGCACGGAAGGTAATATTGACTCAATACACGTCACATCAAACTGGAAGGAGGTGGTGTTAAGGTGAGCTATTTCTCTTTCTGTTTAGTTGAATGCCCTCACTAAGCTTTTTACTTAAAACAACTAAATTGTTGTAGACTTTGGGAAAGACTGTGATTCAACAAATTGACCAGCAAAAACTGCCTCACTAATCACAACAGAAATGTAATTAGCATACCAGTTCTTCTCACATCTCCCCACTTTCCTCTAGTTAATCACCATATTACACTGAAGTGAGATTCTACACAATTTAAAAGCTTTTGCAGCCACCTTTAAAAAAGGGAAAGGTCCAATTCTTTCTCTGGGCCAATCCAGGCTCCCCTTTTTAAAGTGGAATCAGTCCAGCCAACAATTCAGATTTATATTCTGACTAGAAATCAGTATATGACTTCCTGGACTGATCTGGATTGCTGTAATTTTATGTTTCATTGTAAAAATGCCAATGTCCTGAGATCATCTGAAGGTGAAACCCACTTTCAATGTCACATTTTGGTCTTTAGCCACATCTACTAATTTGTTTTTGATTCTACCTCAGAAAATTTCAAGCTTTCAACCAGGGCTGTGGATGCCTCAAAATACTTCAGGCAGNTCCTCCTCCTTTGAGAACCTCAGAAGCGCGAGAAGCCACACCTGTGCCTAAGTAGGCATTTCAACAATTCTCACCCCCATGAACTCTTTTTGTGGGGCAATTTACAATAATAAGAGAGCAGAAAGCTGAGATTTTAAAAAGCCCAAATCCCAGAAAGGGAAACAGTCCACATTGAAGCAAAACAATACAGGTGTTCCTAAAAGGTTGTCTGAAATGCTAATTGGGGGGGGGGGGGGGGGGGAGATTCTCTGTCCCAGATATAGAGAACATGGCTTATAAAGCTCTTATATTATGACTAACTATATGTGTATCTAACTGGACCTTGCTGGGGCTCAGAATGACCTTCCCCTACACAGATTTCCTCGTTGATTTTATTATGTGCTTCACTTTTCTTGCCATGAATAACCCACAGTTAGAATGTCAAATCAGGAGGGAGAGAGAGATGCACACATGCACATGCACACACAACCATTCAGCATGCGGGTTTAGTCATTCTCTCAACTTAGTCTACTTCCCAGCGTTGCTGTATAAAACTGAAAGGGGGAACACAGGCCATTTAAAGTCCATAGAGGGCAGGCACTTTACAAATGTTGAATGTTGATGTTGAAGCTCAAATATGCTCCTCACGTGGCTTTCTGCATATTGGTGCCCATGTGTAACAGACTGTGTCCAAGACTGGATTGACAAATAATTGAGGGAGTCAAAGTCAAAAATCCACTGGCCTTTGCTTAATGTGCTCTTAATTCCCGTAGGCCTTAGCTAAAACTTCCATGAATAATCTGAAACATCTCTTTCAGAGGAAGGCACATGAAGTGCATGTTAACCAAACATGCCATTTCTTCCACGTGGAAGTGGGCAAAAGGTTGCAATTTAAAGTGCCCTTTCCCCTATAAATAGATAACTCTACACACATCTGGATTCTCAAGTTAAGGGGCACAATTCTGCAATGCCAACAATTATTAGGACAGCATGTTCAGGGTTGGAACATTCCACTTATAAAGGACACATCTTTTCACTTCAGTTACAACAGCATGGACACAGAAGAAAAAGCCAAGTCAAAAGTACGATGAAAAGTACCTTGAATAACAAAGCAAGTTGGTAGTCCTTTTGAGGTCATGGAGGAAGAGACAGGAAGGAGGGCAGTGAAACAAAAGAGAGGAAGATTTTATTGGACAGAACCAATACGCCAATCATGGTTATAAAAGTGTTCTCTGGGCACCACTAACAAACAAAGACTGAAGGGAAAAATTCCCCTTTCTTGGGGAAAAAATTAAAAATAGCAAATTAGCAACTTATTTCTTGGAAGCGAATGAGCTGAAACCAATGGATCCGTTCCCCTTATCAATAAAGTAAAATGTTAAAGAGAGAAAGCTTTTAAGATGGCAATTAGTCATTGCTCTTGACCAGACCTATTATTATCAAGTCTTTAGCCCCATTTCCACCTTTTCTGTACGAGGCTTTTCTTGCCCCACTTCCACGACTCAAAGCAGCTGGCGGCACGTGAAAGACGGTCACTGAAAAGATCGGGGCTTCTTATAAATCGGGCTGAAAACGTCCTTAGGATCTGCAGTGGCACAGTGGTTAGAGTGCAGCATGGCAGGCTATTTCTGCTGATCACTACCGGCAGCAATCTGGCAGATCGAATCTCCCCAGGCTTAAGGTTGACCCAGCCTTCCATCCTTCCGAGGTGGGTAAAATGAGGAGCCAAATGGTTGGGGGCGACAGGCTGACTCTGTAAACCCCTTAGAGAGGGCCGTAAAGCACTGTGAAGTGGCATATAAGTCTAAGTGCTTTTGCTATGTATTATGCTTGTAAACAACACAAGGCAGCCAACACACCTAATCCTTCTTCCTCCTATTTTTCCTACAACAACAACTCGGTGAGGTAGATTGGGCTGAGAAAGAGAGTGAGTAGCCCAAAGCCACCCAGCTGATTTATGCTGGATATCACACGGAGTGCGAACCAATGAAATATATGAGCATCTATATCAGAGGTGTCAAACTCAAGGCCCATGGGCCCGTGGGGTGGTTAAATCTGGTGCCTCTGGCAGCCAAAATGGGGTGTGGACCCCATTTTCAGCCTGGACGATCTCCTGAAGC